CGGAAAACATCTCCGAAATGAACTCTGCTTTGGGGTAGATAACCTGTGTTCAGTATTGCGGTAAACTAGGTGCTACAATTGTGCCCAGGCAAACCATTTAAGTACGTGCTGTTTTACTGCAAAGTGCAAGTTAAGCAGTGACAACATCTTAACTTCGCTGTAAAATCAATAACAGCATAATCTATAATCTTTGCATTTAATATAGCACCTTTCACAGCATTGAAACAACTCAAAGCGCTCGATAGGATATTATTGTAAAGTGTTGTAGTTTAACATCTCATTCCACAATGCCGCACTCTCCCAGAACTGCCCTAGAGTGTCAGGGGCTTGAATTCACAACCTTCTCACTCAAAGGCAAGACTGCTACCAGCTGAGTTGGGAAAGTGGGAAGGTTGGAAGATGGTTGGCCACAGTAAGGTTAAAGCGAGAAGTGTTAAGAAGGTGGAGCAGAGGTGGGAGCAGTAAAGCTGAGCAGTAGATCAGGGATGGCGGAGTGGAGTTGGGCTGGAAAAAACAATGATTAGATGAGCTTTGATCAACGATTGGACAAACTAAGGCTCTTCAGTCTCGAGGGAGGTTCAGAGATAGCTTGGGGCACAGGCATGGGAGGATTTGATGACCAGGATAATAATAATACTTACATTTTTTTGAAGGAATTATTACCCCCTCGAAAAGCGATCCACCAATCGACTAACAACTGGGTTCCTACTTACTACTCGGTAAACAGAGGGGTGTGGCGTAAGGAAACTTGCCCAATTTCGCCCGGCTTGCGAGGCGAGTGCTCTAACTACTAAGCTACAGGACTACATGATGAAGATCTTGGCTTGTTTCTCTGGGTACTAAGTCAATGGAGCCTGGAGGGAATTGAGTAATGAATATCCCAAGCAGGTGCAGGAGAGGACGAGGGGTGTAGAGTTGTAAATAAGCTGGAGTTATTGAGGATTTATCTTTTATCCCAAGATGAGGACATCAGACTTCCATAGTGTATTTCTGATCTTTCTACTAAGCTCATTGATCCCCAGAATTGGTGTTGAAGCTCTGAAGTTCTCTCGCCAGGTCTCACTATAATAGTTAAAATGTGTTTCGCCCACAAAATATACAGTTCTGTAAAATGCTTCGAGACATTTCAACAACATAATAAGGCGCTATATCAAATGCAAGGATTATTATTATTATTAGGTACAGTTCTGATTGTTTCAATACAAGGGATTGCCTAGGCCCAAGAGGCACCGCAGAGGGAAAAAAACGGTGATTAAATGAGCTATGCGAGCAGCGATTAGACAACTTAGGGCTTTTCAGTCTCGAGAGGACTCAGAGGGAAACTTGTAGAGGTATGTGAAGATTTTAAAAGATTGAAAACAGAACAAGAACAATACTTGCGGATGCAGCACGGCAGTGGAACAAGTGGACTTAGGTTTAGAGTGATAAAGGGCAATATCGGGACAGTTACCAGGAAGTTTTTCGTCACTCAGACGTGTTTGATGACTGGAACATAATGGTTAACAGGAAAGGTGCTTGAGGCCAGGACCCTGGACCTCTGTGGGGTTTATACTATTGAGTACGAGGTGCGTGTCTTCCAAAAGTAGAGTGATTCGGAGTGTGAACCCTGACTTACACTTGACCTGTCCCCGATGGCTCTCCCTGGAGGCTGAGCAGAGGCTGTGAGCTTGCGTGCGCAGAGCTGACCGGGGCTCGTTCTTAAACAGCATAAAAGAGGCCGTGCCAGTCAAACAACGCGGTCTCCAACCCAGAACAGCGAGCGAGCAAGCCTGGGATAATTGTGGACTGAAACGCCTCAGTAAACATTGTGACAAATCCAGGAGAGTTAATGAACAGCCTATTCACAGGATGCTTTTAACGGCTACCCCCACTGCCTGATATCTTTCCGCAGCTGCCAAGTACTGCTTGGTTCAGTTCCACTGCATTGTTTCAGGATCAGGCTCCTGGCAAAGACCCACGAAGGACTCGTGGAATTATTCACCCAGTACCCTATGCACAAGCATCTTTTGCTACGAGATTCGAACGTTGAATCCAAACAGGCTGCCATTTAATGTTCGCCCTGTTTGCTTGTGGAATGCTTCGTGAGACGTATCTGGGCAGTCTCCATTGTCACCACCAAGTTGTTAAATAGATGCGATAATCATAATAATAATAATAATGATAATAATAATATAATCCTTGCATTTGATACAGCGCCTTATCACGTCTTCGAGACGTCTCAAAGCGCGGAATATACGGTAAAGTGAATTGACTGTATGTTTGTGGACGAGACGCTATCCTTGTAGTTTGGTACAGCAGTAATGCCTGTAGCGTGGAGAACATCTCAAAACGGTGTTAGAAAGTTTCTGTAAAGTGTATTTATAGATGCTCACGACAGCCGATTTGCGCCCAGCCGTGTCCCACAACCAGCCATGAAGCGAATTATTAATTTTAGCGCCAGTGGAAAAGATAATGATGTTGTCTGCTTGTGGTCTTGTTGATTCCTGAAACAAGTTGGGAGGAAGTCAGCAGGAGAGAGTGAGAGGAAATTACATGTGATACGATAATTGTCACAGGTGATAATGATCATGCCACGGAACTGCATATTTCCCCTTCGAGGATCTGATATCAGTTTAAAATCCTGAGTTCATCCAGAACCCGTTCTGCCCGAGCACTTTCCTTCACACGCTCGCGAACGATGGCACTTACGCACGCAGAACCCTCCTCACCCTCACCGCACCCACACTGCCACGGACACCCTCCCATTCCTATCCAGACCCCCATGCGCACAGTGCGTGATGCTATCAGACGGACTAGACATTGATCTGGAACCTATCCACGGTTTTACCACGTTGATCCATTTGGTGTTTCCTGTCGCAGTCAGAGACGGGCCTTATTTTCCTGTGAACACATATAAATTGGGATTGAAACGCTTACCTCCTGACGGCTTCATTCAATTCTCAGTTCTAACCGTGACTTCGCATTGCGCAAAAAAAAATGGCAGCCTGCTGTCTTTCTTTTTTTGAGTTAAAGGAATCGTTTGAAAATGAAATAGGCCAATTGGCAGTGGAATCGTGCAGATATGCGCAAGGCAGATGCGCAGGTAGTCCATCCTTTTGGCTACTGAGGCAACTGGACGCCTGATTTGAGAAATGTCCACCGGCTGCATTAGATTATACTTTTTTAACCGCCTCCAACACAAAGCTGCCTTTCAAGCCCGTATACAAGTATTTCGCCCACAAATCTGCGGTCAGTTCACTTTACAGTCTATTCTGCGAAGCGCTTTGAGACGTCGAGAAGACGTGAAAAGCGCTATATCAAATGCAAGGATTGGTACTGTTGTGTTGTAAGGAGGACATCTGCATGGTGGGCAAGGTCAGAAGAAACCGAGAGAAGTTTATATCAGTTACCTGGCCTTGGCGAATTTGGAGTTAAGAACAAGCTAAGGATTCTGCTTGCGGAGCAAGTTTCAGGACAGGCTCTAAGTCGCTCACTCTGAATACGGCAAGACATTTTTATGTTTCCCTTCCAGGAAGGTAACTCCTAAAAATCATATGAAATCCTATGTTTTAAATTGTGCAACTGATTACGCCTAATAATAATCCCTCCAAAACCAAAAACAATAATAAATTGGTCATTTTCAATCTACGACTGTTTGTGGGACATTGCTGTGCGCAATTGACCGCCGCGTTCGCCCACAAATATACAGTCAATTCACTTTACAGTGTGTTCTGTGAAGCGCTTTGGGACGTCCTTCCGACATGAAAAGCGCTATATGAAATGCAAGGATTATTATTATTATTATTATTATTACTTCACTTCGCTGTGTATTAACTGCCATGCAAACCTTAAATAGGCGATGTAAAAAGTCATTAAAATTTTAAAAGAATAATACAGCCAGTGACGAGGTGTCTTTCTATGTGTCTCTCTCTTTCTCTGTCTGTGTCTGTCCCTATATCTCTCTCTCTCTCTCTCTCTCTCTGCCTGTGTGCCTCTGTATCTACCTGTGTGCATTTCTCTCCCTCGATCTCCTTCTGTATGAGTATCTTTCCTGCGACTGAATCGTAGAATCATAGAATTGTACAGCACAAAAAGAGGCCATTCGGCCCATCGAGTCTGTGCGGCTCTTTGAATAGAGCAATTAATGTCAATCCCACTCCCCAGCCCTTTCCCCATAACCCTGCAAACCCGTCCTCCTCAAATACCCCTCCACCGCATTTTTAAAAGTAGTTGGATCGGCCTCGATCGCTCTTTCAGGCAATGCGTTCCAAGTTGACGGGTTCCACTACAAAACACTGCTGTTTTCCCCACCGGGTCAGACCGAGCCTGGAGCTCCGGACGCAAAGTGTGAGCGTGTTCGTGGGCCGGATGAACGCGTCCCGGTTGGACCATCCTCTTTTATCGCGTGAGCTAAGACTCTTGGAAGTCGGTTGTGCTTTCGGGCTTGCTGCAGCAAACCACGAGCAAAGTTCAGATCAAAAACTCGTGTGAGTCGCTGCCCTGTCTTTTCACGTGGACTGAAAGCCGAGCGGCCGAATTTCCCGCACGAGGGTGGTGGGCTTGGGCGCCGACAGGTTCTCGCTCCTCTGGCGCGATTGAAGCGGTGTAAGCGTTCTCGCTGCGACTTTCCTCGGAATTCGGGGAGGCCGGCTGTCAGCTTTCGAACGCCAACTGCAAAGAACAGCAGCTCAGTGTTTAAACGGCGAATGTTTTGCACCAGCCTTCTGCTGTCACAAGGTGTCTCTATTGCAATCCGTAACAAGTGGCATTCGCTGTGTTGACAGCGAGCAAATAACGTAGAAGAGCAACAGCAGCCCGTCCCTGAAACTTGCTACACAGACCGAATCCCTGGCCTTCGCTTAATTCCAAAATTGACCTTTTGCCGTCTTGTCGGGGCTCATCCATCGGAACGGCCTCCCTGTTTTTTTTTTCGCGTAGCTTATGCTTACGAGCGCACTGAGTTACCCTTGGAGGTTACCCGACTGATTGTTCATTCGATGCTAATATTTGTGTTCCCACAGCTGAGCTCCTCCGTCATGGACACGGTTCTGAAGGGGACGTTCAACGCCACGCTCCAAAACCCGCTGCTGAATCAGCCGGAGTCTCCCCGGCAAACCGAACCCAAAATGAGCCTGCCCGCTCCGCTTCAGGCCTGATCCAACCGTTTCCCGGCAGTAAGTAACCAACGCTTTTTTTTTAAAGTCACGCCATTCCCCAACCCTCACCCCCACCCACGCGGATCTCACCCAGGCCGACTCATCTCTCAGTCATGTTGGGTAGCTGTTTGCCCCCTCACACACACACACACACAAACACACATATACACACGAGAGAGAGAAAGAGAGAGAGAGTGAGTGAAAGTGCGAGGGAGAGAAAACACAAGAGGAAGAAATCACTACGACTGAAAGAAGATTGAGGGAAGTTGGATATAGGCTTAGTTTTCACGATTCACAGCAGCCAGATCATATATTCTTCAGTGCAATTCATACGTATGGTGAAAACTAGACCTGTGGATAGAAAAATAAAGAAACGATGACCTTTTTCTACCCACATAACCAGAACTGGGTGTTTCGTAAAATATGACGGCACTTAAACACGATCTGCCCTTCGCAAGAAAGCCCTCTGCGGTTTTCTTTCTTTCCGTCTGAAATAGATTACATAAAACATTTTGTCCGGGGCATTAATATCATTGCATCAATAAAGTTGTCGACTGCTGCTCCAACGTTCGTTGTTTTTTTATCAGTAGGAATAATAAAAATCTTTGTGAAGAAAGCAGTACATTAAACAACCAAGTCTTTTGAGGTCTGGAGCCTTGATAAGCAGTGCTGGGGGTTACTGAAGGGACAGTGGTCCTTTACGGGCCTCAGAAAAGCACAAGTATTGGTCTGTGCAATCCACCCAGTCTGTTTCCTGCGCAATTACAGGACATAAATCAGCCGATAGTTCTCAGCAGAGGGTTTAAGCTGCCCTTTCCATTCCTATAAATCTCCGAAGCCAGGAAGAAATTAGTGCATTCAGAGCGTTCATCTCACAAGGTTAATGTTAAATTGGCAACGAAAGTTATTGCTAACCAATGAGACAGTTCAAAGAAGTTTTCAGTGCTATTCATTGTTACCTCTTACTGTGTATTATCTGATGACATGCTGTAATTATACTGTATTGGTGCTTTCATAAGCAGCCTATTAATCTAATGGGCAAATGTCCCATTCTCTTAGTACCAAGTCTTCACGAAACTGTCTGCAGCTAATTCAGCCGCAGTTATTTATGGGCGAATACATCACTTTACTCAGTCTTTCATCAAGCACAGTTCTTTACTTCTTCAGCTAATCAAAACCAAATAACTCACGGAGTATTTTGCCAAACCTCTGGAGTGAATAAATCACGGTGTACTTTATGTGCACTTCTCTTATAAGTGCACCGGACTATGTTTGCTCGCAGCATCCAAACCAGCAGCGGTTTTATACGTACTATCAGTTGCTAATCAGGGTCATGTTACAAAAACACTTTGTGCTTTTTAATGACAGAATGTAATGTTCGCTAAAAGCTTTTAAAGAGATTATCCTTCCTCTGGCCTTCCGAGGGAGTTGGCCACTTCTTAACATTTCCCTGATGGAGTTCAGTTGTGGAAAAACACATCGACTCCACCTTTTGCAGGACGGTTCCCATTTTCATACCAGCGGGCGACTGTTTTTCTGCCCCTTGTGGGACAGACCCCCTCGGTCACCCGTCAGCCTGGAGATAAACCCTAGCCGGTGAAATAGCTATGTGAGCCACGCTGTAACCGTGTGAGCCCGTGCGTGTACTCTGTCAGACACTGAGCAGTCTGTTACAAAGGAGCCATGTGCGTTCATTTAGCACCGCTGGCGGTAGGAAAGTTAATATTGTGATTCCACCACTGGGAAACCATCAAGTGGCCTTTATTGGTGCTGTTAACACTGCTTCCGCCAGTTTAGAGAACAGCCTCTGCTTTTTTTTTGCGCCGGCTGGCTGCGCAAGGTGCCCCACGTCCCGTTCGGGGCCCCCGCTCACCAGATCGAAGCGAGGTCTTTGTGAAGCCCAACCCATTCAGTCCCCACCCTTCCAGGATACCCACAGCAGCTTCTTCGCAGGGACCCCAAGCGGTTTCAGGAAAGGGGCAGAGCAGCCACTGAGCTCCGTTTGCCTGCGCCCGAGTGACAACGTCCTTCGGACGAGATGTTAAACCCGTCCCCGCTATTCGAAAAGGGAAGGGAGTTTTTCCTGGCGTCCTGGCCAACAACCTCCCAAATATTGGTCGCTCATTCTGACGACAGCACAGCTAGCCTGATCCATCGGCAAGACTAGGAAGGGCGGACTGGTCACTGGGGTGTCAGGGGCTCTCCTCACTCAGCTCCCGCTGACCCTGAAAGCCAAAGCCCAAACAGGCGGGGTGGTCCGAGCTGGAAGAGCAGCGGGAACATTTCCAGCTATCAGTGGCACGCTACGCAGTTTTAGCTGGTTAGACTCCAGCAGGGGTTCCGCAGACGCCCGGCTGACCAGAAAAATAAAGAGCCCTAGCTTGTCGAATCATTGGTCCTCAGCCAGTATCCCAGGCAGCGCCCAGCATAGCAAGACACAAGACAGGCCATCAACTGGGAATGACTGCATGCGGTGATCCTTGGGGGGGGGGGGAAGAGTTTTGCTGGTCCTTGCAGTTGCTGACCTTGGTGGTGGTATGCTTTAGCGTTGCATTTTCCTTGTTAAAAGAGCATAAAAGTGAGATTAGTGAGGTTTACCGACCAGGGAAATATTCCTTCATCGTTTTTAACCGAAATCTACCAGCTGCTAGCTACCACTTGCCCACAATTACTGCTCTTACAACTCTCGTCTGCTGTTCATTCCTCACTCCCTTCATCCCACCGTTCAGCCACTGCCCCAGATTCTCTGTGGGATTCTCTCCCCAAACTCTCTTTGCCGTGTGCCTTTTCCTCCTGCCTATAAAACCGCCTTTTTTTAAAATATATATATGTATATTTGCTTAAATTACCTTACCTTTTGCTTCGATCGTTTCCTTTCTGCTCAGTTGCTCTCATTGTCCTTGTGACGTGCGTTCAGGCATTTGTCTTCTGTGAAACGCGCCGTTGGTGTACTGCGTAAAGCCATTTTTAAAAAAAAATGATTTGAAATAAAGGTACTTGACATGAAGGCCTATTAAAAGGGTGCAAAACCATAAAAGATCTCTGCAAACTTGCTCTTTCAACTCGCCGATAGACAACACAATACAGATTTACAGTGCTTTTACATCGGGAAGATGTCGCAAGGCGTTTAAATAACAAATAGCAACTAAAACATCGTCAGTTCTTGAGGGTTTTTCTGACAATCCGTTGTTATCAATGGCCTGTTCGCCTCCCAGGCCATGTGACTAATGTGTCCATGTCTTTTCCGGGAAGATCATAAGCCTTTTCAGATTGCATTCGGTCTCATAAAGCAATAGATGTCAGAGGAGGAGTGTCGTCGAAAACCTGTCGGTGTTTGACATGTTATTGCAGGAGAGGAGAATCACTCACATAATTGTTGTAAACATCCAAAAAAAAATGCATAATATTATTTCTGTTACAACGCCATCATGTTGTAATGTTCTTCTTTTACAAAGCATAGGAGCAGAATAGACATTTATCTTAATTTCCCTTCGCTGCCACAAAATGACTGCTGGGAATTACGACGACAACTACTCCTATTACGTGGGCGATCAAAAAAGTTGTGATATCGACCCTACTATCTAACTAAAAACCAAAATAGCGTAGTTCCTTTAAGACTGATTAGACATTGTAACGGTATCACTACTTTTTGGTCGGCAAGACCGGATGGGCCGAATGGCCTGCTTCTGAGCTGTAGCTTCTATCAGTCTCTGAGTCTTGTCCGACAATCAGGAAGTCGGTCAAACTACCTTCGTCAAACATGGCTGCTATTGTGACATAGAGTTACACGTGGAGTGATACTGCACAGAAGTAGGCCGTTGGGCTCAACTAGCCCATGTCCGTGTCTACGTTCCACACGAGCTCCATCTCCTCACCTTGGCTCTTCTTTTAGTCCCTTCTCTCTCGCGTGTGCGTCAAGTTTTCTCTTAAAAACATATCGATGCGACGTCTCTCCTTCAACCTACCAGCGTTACAGTTCCATATTCTCAACACCCTCTGCGTGAAGAAGTTCCTCCTAAACTCTCTCAAGAAGATCCGCGACTTATATTTATGCCCTCTAGTCTGGGATTCGGAATACTAAGTATTCTCAGGCTTTATTGTTTTTGCTGCGGGGATGGGTGGGTGGGTGGGGGGGAGGAAAGAGTTTGTGAAAACACTGGAAAGACAAGGCTAAGAAACTGATTTTTGCTGTTATGTGACTGTGCTACAAATCCTGGTTTGCTCCACATTGTAGCTCACAGCTATCGCAAGGCAACTGCCTGGTACTAAACTGCCCGTTCGGATAATAGGCCGCTTACTCAATTTGCCGACGATTGGCAAATTGCAGATGCAGCACATAAGCCACTTGACAGCTCCTAGGTGTCACTTCTACTGATAGCTCTGGACTGCAAATGGTATGTAAACTGCGCAGTGAACTAAAACAAGAAGCGTTCAATTGATCTGATGCAATGAGCGGAAATAGTTGAAATTGCTACTTGCAGCAATAAGTAGGACGCCAGAGGAGTGGGTGCTGCTGCCTGTGTGGATAATTAGAGATGTACAAAAATTATGAGAGGTTTTGACAGGATAAATAGGAATAATTTATTTCCATTGATAGAGGAGGCAGTGACCCTGTCTCTTTTCAAGGCCATAAGAGCCCATGCTTATCTGGTTGTTCCTCAGAGTCTACCCCCTTTGACACTTAAGAATCGCTCTCATTTCTGTCTTCTTCGCTGCCTCCAGGCGACAACGAAGAACAAAATTACATTTGTACAGTGCCTTTCACGTCAGGAGGACAGGACGTCCCAAGGCAATCCCTTATGTTGTGGTAACCAAAAATAAATCCCCGACTTCAGCCGGAGTCTGACTGGAGCCCAATATCGGGGCTTTTCCGGGGTTGATAATTCCTTCCAAAAAAGTAATCAATCGGCCACTCAATCCACGACTTTGTGGGACGCTGCTGTGCGCATTTCGCCCACAAAGTATATGCAGTCAATTCACTTTACGGAGTATCCTGCGAAGCGCTTCGAGACGTCTCG